AACGATAAAAGGTGGGAAAATGAAAAATTCAGAAACCCAAAATGAAACATTTCAAGTTTAAAAAATTTTCAAACAAAAAACTTTTTTTTTTTTGAAAAAAAATTAAAATTTTTTTTTTTTTTTTTTCAGAAACTTTTGAAATCGAATCTGAAAATTTCAAAGGTTCAAATCATCTATTTCGCAATGAATATCGCGTGTGGAATGAGATATATCGCCTCGAAAAATGTGATTCATCGAGATTTGGCCGCTCGGAACTGTTTGATTACGAAGGATTTGAAGGCGAAAATCTCGGATTTTGGACTGTCGAGATTGGTAGGTAGACTACAAAGACTACAAAGACTACGAACTACTACTAACTACACAATTCCGCTTTTTGAAAAATTCAACAATTTGAAAAAAATTAAAATATTTTAAAAATCTGAAAATCCGAGAAACTGCGAAAACTAGCGCTTTGTACCAAATCACAAAGACTACAAACTACACTGAAGTATTCGAATTTCGAATTTTTCAAATGTCTGATTTTTTTAATTCAAAAATGCAAAAAAAAAATATAAAATATAAACAACTCGAAGTCTAAATTTGTCCCAAACTACAAATACTACAAACTACACTACCAAAACTACAAAGACTACAAACTCTTCAGAAACTTAAAATTCTTGAAATTTCGAATTTTTTGGAATTTAAAAATGCGAAAATTAAAAAAAATACTCCTGTACCAAAGTTCCATTTTCTTACAACACTACAAATACTACAAAGACTACAAACTACACAATTCCGATATTTTTTGAAACTCAAAAATCCTAAGAAAGTAAAAACTAACACATCAGAAAACTCCAAAAACTCGAAAATTCAAAAAATCGGAAAAATCGCAAAGTTGATCAATTTGTACCAAACTACAAAGACTACAAACTACAATAATGACTTGCAATTTTGAATTCAACATCTGGGAAAAACAGGAAAACTAGAAAATTAGAAATCATAATTTGTTCCGAACTACAAAGAATACAAAGATTACAAACTACAATAGAGTCATGGAATTCAAAATTTTTCGAGTTTCCGAATATTTTTGAATCAAAAATTCTAAAAACCGGAAAATTCCCAAAATTTCAAAAATTTAGAAAATCGAGAAAATCCGGAAAACATGAACAGTTCAAAGTGTAACACTGTTATAAAGTACAAAGACTACAAACTACAAAACCCCCATTGCAGGGTCCCCAAGTGATAGAAAAATCGATAAAAAAAGCGCCGATTCGTTGGATGTCCCCTGAATCCCTTCTAACGGGAACATTCAATGAGAAAACGGACGTTTGGTCTTATGGAGTACTACTGACTGAGATGATGACTCGTTGTGCTCACAAACCCCTGTGGCCAATGGGAATCAAAGATGCTCAGGAGCACATTAAGACATCTGATGCTCCACATCGAATCCGAAATGGAGAGCCCTGGGAGTTGTTGGCTATCGTTGATGCCTGTTGTGATAGGGTGAGCTTTTTTTGGAATTTTTTGAAATTTCCCAGGTTACTGTAGTGCCAAAAGTCCTCAAACACTTTGAAAACGTCATCTATGACAATTTTCATAGCCAAATTCGTTTTTCCCATAGTCGATTTGGTCTAAACCCGCGAAATAAGCTCAAAATCTCAAATTTCCGAAAATTCGGTGTTTGCGTACTTTGCGAGCTACAGTAATCCAAAATTACCGAAAATTTTCAAAATGAAGCTAGAAACGTCTACTTTTCAGTATCCGGACCCAAATTTCGCGGGGAATTTGAATTTTCGAATCAAAATTTGAAAATCCGAAATTTCAGAATCCCGAAACTCGATTCAATTTTCAAACTGTGAAACGTCAAATGCGTACGATCTACACCAACTGCTTGGCAGCCGGAAATCAGCAACAAGAGACAAATCAGACACCAATTGGACCAACTTCTGGAGTCATCCCATTGGAAATGGTAGAACGAGACATTTTAAAGATTTTTTTAAATTCCGAAATTTCAGAAAAAATCCAACGACCGTCAAAAAACAATGAATACCACATTGGGTCGAAAAAAGTCCAAAGACGGAGGAATGATCAAATCGTCGAAATCGAAAAAATCGAAAAAATCGAAACGAAAATTTTTCTCATTTCGTCGGAAGAATAAAAACGGCATTCAACTGCCAACTGGCATGTCTACAGTACCCGTGGGATCTCCCAAAGCCACGCCCACTTCTCAAGCTCCGTCCCTTCCGACTCCGCCCCTCAATACTCCGCCCCTTCCACCACCACAAACATCTGTCACTTCGGTCCCATCGCCTTCTCAAAATTCGGCTCCGCCCATTTCTGGTCCACCGACTAGCACTCAGTCGAAATCACCAACTACGACACAGTAGTGATTATTTTATTGGTTTATCGATTTTTTATTGTGTGAAATGAAGTGTTTTGTCTTTTTACCTAGAAATTGAGATTTTTAAATTTTCAGAAAAAACATTTTCCAGGTTACTGTAGTTGCAAAAGTCCGCAAACACTGAAAAATGTTATTTATGACAGTTTTCATCGCCAAATTCGTTTTTCCCATAGTCAAATTAGCATAAACTCGCGAAATAAGCTCAAAATCTCGATTTCCAAAAATTCGGTGTTTGCGTACTTTCCAAGTTACAGTAATCCAAAGAATGCCAAAATGAAGCTAGAAAAATCTAATTTTCAGTGTCCAAAGCCAAATTTTGCAGAGAGTTCGAATTTCGTAACGAAATTTTGGACATTCTCAAATTTTCACAGGTTACTGTAGTTAAAAAGTCTGCAAAAGCTAAGAACAGAAATTTATGACAGTTTTCACTGCCAAATTCGTTTTTTTCATAGTTCAATTAGTATAAACTCGCGAAGTGAGCTCAAAATCCCAAATTCGGTGTTTGCGTACTTTCCAAGCTACAGTAGTCCAAAACTGCGGAAACATGCCAAAATGAAGCTAGAAACGTCTACTTTTCAGTGTCCAGACCCAAATTTTGTGGGGGAATCGAACTTTCATATGAAAATATGGAATTTTTTTGAATTTGGAAATTTTCCCGGGTTACTGTATTTCAAAAAGTCCGCAAACACACTGAAAATGCCAAATTCGTTTTCCCCATACTTAAATTAGTCTAAACTCGCGAAATAAGCTCAAAATCTCAAATTTCCAAAAATTCAGTGTTTGCGTACTTTCAAAGATACAGTAATCCGAAATTGCGGAAAAATGTCAAAATGAAGCTAGAAACGTCTACTTTTCAGTATCCGGACCTAAATTTTTTCGCGGGGAATTCGAATTTCGTAAATACTTGAAAGTTTTCGAGGAAAAAAAAATCAAATTTTAGATTTTTCAGAGTTGTTCATATTACTATTTCTCTTTTTTTTTTCAAAGGATTTTTGAACTCTTGACTTCATAAAATTTGAAATTCGATCACCTAGAATTTATATTTTCACATAAAAAATAAATAATAAAATGTTAAGTACCCCTCTCTCCTCATGTGCGTATAAATTTTCCCTTTTTTTCCGATTCCCAAAAGTCCGAAAATGAAAATTTTCCCAATTTTAATATTTTTCTTCCAATTTCTGACTTTCGGAAAATCTGAAATTCCTCCGATTGCTCGGAAAATGCCAAATCCAATGGTACCACCATTGCAGGTATTTTTTGAAATTCAAATTGTTGAAAATGCGCTCTAATGCAAATTTCGGCAAAAATTGAATTTTTTTTGTTGAAAATCTACAAGTTGCAAATGCGCTCCAATGCAAAATCTCCGGAAATTCGAAATTTTCCAGCTCGACCCCTCCTGCCACGTGGTTTCCTGCTACCGTAACATCTTCAACAAGTCCGACAGCTGTGCGAAAAGCGAATATCTACACAGCTTCAAGAAGTGCGACAAGAAATTCTATAGAGAAGAAATCTGTTGCAAAAAATAAATATTTCATCCTGAATCCTAAAATTGCGAAAAAACCAAATTTACAGCAAAAATTCACAAAAATCGGTTGAAAATGACCCAAGTTACAGAGGATTGATTTTTTTACTGAGGCTTAGAGATATTTGTAGCTTGTAGTCGCTAAACATCAGTAAAAAGCTAGCAAAAGCTTCGGCGCGCTGGAGTGTTTACTGAGGCTAACTCAAATCTTGTAGTTTGTAGTTTAAGCCTCAGTAAAAGAACCGTTTCACTTCGTTTTTCGCTCGTTTCAATGCGATTTTTCTCGTTTTTTTTCTGAAATTTTCTCGTAAATTTTTGTAGTTTGTAGTCTATAAAAAGGGGGAATACAGAGAGTTCATTATGCACCACATAAAAACAGAGACAAGGACTTGAAAATTGAATTAAGAAATGTTCAAAATGCGCTCCAATGACAATTTGAGAGAAGTGCGTCAGAGCGCGAGATCATAATCAGCGAAAAATTTTGAACTTCGAGAATTTTAAAGGAAAATACAAACCAAAAAAAATGTTAAGAATCTTTCTCCTCATCGATTTTCGCTTTTTTGGCTTGTGGCTCTTCTGAAGGTCCCTGAACGTCTTCTGGAGCAAGTTCTGGAGCTTCGGGAGCATCGATTTTGACATCTGGAGAGTCTGGAATGTCTTTTGGAGCGTTAGAAGCTTCTGGGACGTCCTCCTCCTGAGCTTCTGAAGCTTCTTCTGGGATCTCCAGTGCTTCTGGAGCATTCCCAATGGCGTCTAGAGCTTCTGAAGTGCTCTGAACGCCTTCTGACTCGCATCCAAGCGACGTGATATTTTCCGAAGCTTCTGGGATGCTCTCTGTGGCATCTGAAGTGTCCATAGCTTCTGGAACGGATTCTGACGTGTTCATAGCTTCTGAAGGGACATTCGGTACTCGTTGAACGGCTCCAAACACTCTCTGAGAATCCGGAGTCCTTGGACCTCTTCTAAATCCCTCAATCGGCTCCCCAGTACCCCGTCTAACGGCTTCTCCAGCACTCTGCACCGCTTCAATAGCAGCCAATGCCTCGTGTAGCTGCATCTGCGCCTCAATTTCCATTCTCTCCAATTGCTCATAATCTTCCTGTCTCATAGGTCCATCTCGATCCACTTCAATGATTGCATTCTCGTCCTGATCATCCTCCAAGTCCTCCTCTCCCATCTCCGCCCTCTCAATCGCCGCCATATCCACAAAACCGATTCCAATATGCTCATTTGTCAGCTCAGCAGCCGCCCTGGCTCCAGAAATCCATGCTCCTTGTACGGTGGAGTTGTAGGCGAGGCTAGTGTGCTCTCCTGCGAAATACACTCGATTCTTGCCATCCTTGGTCTCCAGAGGTCTCATCAACTCGTCGAAATCCGATTTTTCAGTTAGAAGACTCATATAACTGCCTGATCCAAACGCGAATTCGTCGTTTTGCCAACGTGTCACATGCGCGGAGACTGGAGATCGTGGACATTGGTGTCCGAACGTCTTCTGGAGAACTGTCATTGCATTTTGAACAATCACTTCGTCTGGCAACTCGTGATCCGCATTCTCGCCAATGATGTAGGTGGTTAGGACGGTGGATTTGGGAGTTGATGACCAGATGGATAGGCAGCCACGGGTTTTGCTGAAAATTTTGGAATATTCGAAAAAAATAAGCTAAAAATCATTAAAATCGGTTGAAAATGAACAAAGTTACAGACTCAAATTTTTTACCGAGGCTTAGGGAAATTTGTAGTTTGTAGTCACAAAAATAGAACTAATTTTACTGAGGCTAGGAGACTACAAACTACAAAAATTCCAGAAATTTTGAGACAAAAATCATTGAAAACGATAAGAAACTAACATTTTTTGAAATTTTACTGAGGCTAACTGACTACAAGCTACAACTACTACAAGCTACAAAAATTCGCAAGCCTCAGTAAAATCTATGTCGCTCTGGAGTGTTCACTGAGGATTAGGAAATTTTGTAGTTTGTAGTTTCTAAGCCTCAGTAAACGCAAATCATGTTTTACTGAGGCTTACGAATTTTTGTAGTTTGTAGTCTAAGCCTCAGTAATCTCGCTCTGACTTTCCTGAGGCTAGGCAACTACAAACTACACAATTTCCTAAGCCTCAGTAAAATAACACTAGGTTTACTGAGGCTAATGAAAACTTTTTAGTTTGTAGCCTAAGCCTCAGTAAAATTTGGAACTCTTCTAACTTTGTTCATTTTTTACTGTTTTCAATCATTTTCGTCTCAAAATTTTTGAAGTTTTCGTAGTTTGTAGTCTAAGCCTCAGTAAAAGTCTACGACGCCGTTTTTCGTTCGTTTTAGTTCGATTTTTCTGGAATTTTTTCTGAAAAAAAGCAAAACTTACACATTCGGTGATACGGTGACAAATTGACTGGCTCTAGAGCTCGTCGCCGTTGTCCAGAACGCCTTCTCAAACTCCAGAATACACTTGTTGACTAGGCCACTTCCCATTCGTCGAATCGCTTGAATCTTCTTCGGATGAAGACGTGGAGTGAACGTTGGCGCACGTTCATCGTTGATGATTGTTCTGGAAAGGCGGGAATTCGAAATTTTGGTAGTTGAAACGTTTTTTTCTTAATTAAGAATTTTTTTTAATTGTTAATCAAAAAAAAAAACTGTCCGGCGCCGAATTTTGGAAGGTTTCAACAATTTCCAGGCTACTGTAGTTCAAAAAGTCTGCAAACACACTGAAGAATGCCACTTATGACAGTTTTCACTGCCAAATTCGTTTTTCCCATAGTCTGATTAGTCTAAACTCGCGAAATGAGCTCAAAATCTCACATTCGCTGAAATTCGGTGCTTGCGTATTTTCCAAGCTACAGTAATCCAAAATTGCGGAAAAATGTCAAAATGTAGCTAGAAACGTCTACTTTTCAGTGTCCGTAATTTCGCGGGAAATTCGAATTTTGCAGGGAAATTTTTTGAAAAAATTCTGCAGTTTTCTGTGGCTTTTGATTTTCCTATCGATTTTTGGGCTTAAAAATTAGATTTCAGACCAATTTTCCAGCAAAAAAAACCCCCACTTTTTCAACACCCCAATCGGCAGAGTGCATACAACGAACGCGGCGTCCATCTCGACGATTTCGTCTTTTTCATTTTTCACTGTCAATTTGACATCGTTCTCTCGACTATAGTCAATATCCATCACTCGATTATTCAACAGAATTTCCATATTTCGATTACGGACTTGGTGGAGCAGCAGGGCGTGAAGTCCTTGGGATACTGAAAGTTTTGGGGTCGATATAGAGGAAAAATAGGTCAAAAATAGATCTGTTCTAGGCTGTCCTCAGACCGATTTCAATCTTTTCAAAGTCATTTTAGAACAATTTTGGATCGAAACTTGATTTCTGAACCAATTTTTCGTATTTTTTGTCATAACGAATCTGTTTTAGACTGATTTTTATGGTATTTTAGCCGATTTTCAACTCAAAAAAGGAGGAGAAAAACGTACTCCTCGTGGAGACTCCCAGACTCTTATTGACAGCACTATCCGCCGAGAATTGCACCTTTTCCAATTGCGCTCCAATGAGATACTCTTCGAATCCCAACATGAAATTATACGTGGAGAAGTCCGATCCCGGATGCATGAACTGTTTGGCTTGTGGTGTTGAGGAGAGCAGTTGCCAACTACTCTCTGCAGCTTCGTAGGCGTTTGATATCTCTTCAAACTTATCCAAAGCTGTCACAATGTCTCGTTTTAGGGATCGACGGAGGAGGGGATCAATTTCGGTTTCATCTTTTCCTGGAAAAATGAAATTTTAGTTATGTTTAGGCTCGAAATTTGCTTGCAATAGTCATTAACTGCTTAAAAATCCTGAAAATTAGCTGGAAATCGGTCAAAAATAATCCTAAATTAACTAAAAAGGTGAAATAGTCGAAAATCAGTCGAAAAGGGAACTACGGTGGGGTGGATCAATTTCAGTTTCATCTTTCCCTGGAAAATTCGAATTTGAGTGGTTTTTAGGTTCAAAAAAGTGTTCTAATTGCCTAGAAAGCGCTGAAAATCAGCTAAAAATCGGAAAAAATACCGCTAAATATGTCAAAAATAATGTGAAAATTGTTTTCTAGGTTCAAATTGGTTTGAAATTGTCTTTAAACGATTTCAAAACGCTGAAAATTAGCTGAAAACCGGAAAAGTATAGAGCTAAATATGTCAAAAATGCTTAGAAAACGCTGAAATTTGGCTGGAAATGGAAATTAAAAGCTTAGATGGCGCTGGAAAGTAGATGGAAATCAAAAAATGGTCCCATATAGTATCAAATCGGTCAAAAATATTTAACTAAAAATGTTATAAATTGGTTAAAAATTGTCTAAAATAGTTCAAAATCAGCCGAAAAATTTGGAACAGAATTTCGGACCATTTTAGGTCAATTTGGAAGGTATTTTAGATGATTTTCCATTCATTTTGGTCCATTCTGACCATGAAACATCAATTTCATATCAATTTCAGACGGTTTGGGACCATTTTTTAGCTTCTTTCTGAACTATTTCAGACCAATTTAGTACAATTTTAACCAATTTAGGGCAATTTAAAGGAGGGACTTAGATCAAAAGTGTGTAGAAAAATATGTAGATTCACATACAAACGTGAAAAATTCAAAAAAAATCGCAAATTTTGAATTTCCTCCAAAACTGAAAATTCCAAAAAATTGGCGATTTTTTTGAGATTTTTCGATTTCAAAATTGATTTTTTCTTCGACTTTTCCGCAAAATTTTTAGACCTTTTTCGGGTTTTCAGCTATTTTTGAAGATCCTTTTTCGATTTTTCCAAATTTTTTGTTTGAAATTTGACGGGATAGTGTTCTAGGTTACTGTAGAAATCTTATTTTCGTTTTTGCAAACACAATCACGTCAAAATGCAGATAAAATTTTGCAACAAAAAAAATTACGAAATACTTGGTTTTCTACAGTAATCTACAGTTATCTTCTGTCAAATTTCAGACGAAAAAGACCGGAAAAATCGTAAAAGAATCTTCACAAACATCTGAAAATCCTGAAAAGATCTGAAAATTCTGCAAAAAAATAGGAAAAAATCTTAATTTTTAATAGATTTTGAGCTATTTTGGGTCATTTTGAGCACATTTTTCGATGATTCTGACCTATTTTACCCCTCTATCAACCCAAATTTCTCTTTTTCAGTATCCCAACCTAGTCCAGAGCAATATTGAACATATTTTGGTTAATTTTTCATTCATTTTGGTATTTTAAGAACCATTTTAAACCAATTAAAGGTCATTTTAGACGGTATTCCAACGTTTTAGGACCATTTTGGATACTTTTTGAGCAATTTCAGACCAATTAAGTGCAATTTAGGATCAATTTTCATGACTATTACACCTTTCTGGATGCTTTTTGAACTACTCGCGACCAATTTAATGCAATTTTAGGCCAATTTTTCCAGAATTCCCTCACCTTCCATTCGTTTCAATCGATTCTCAGCCATAATAGCTGTATTCCTGGCCACTTTCATCTGCTTGAAATGCAATTCCTTGGCTCGTGCGACCTCTTCCAACTGTTTCGTATGGTTATAGTACTTGATAAGTGTCCCCCGTTCACACATATTGATTATATTCTCGTACGCCTGTTGTCTCGAAATCCACCGCCCGTTCTCATCTCGATGCTCTTTCTGATGCGATTGAAACTGAAGAGCACCCTTCGATGCGTCGTAATGTCTCAGGAACATGTTGATTTTGTCCTCGTTCAGTGGTTTTCCATCCGAGAAGATCGTTGTGAAGTCGAACACGGCGTGCTCGTCCAACATTGCCTGAAAATTCTGAATTTTCAGGCGATTTTCACGAATTCCGAGCAATTTTTGATCTATTTGGAGTGGTTTTTTAAAATCAAATTTTGAATTTTGCGCAAATTTTTAAAAAATTTAATTTGAGAATTTCAGATTGAAATTCTGAAATTTTCAGTACTTTTTTGACTGAATTTTATTTCAGAATAGTTTTTTTCAGTATTTTTCTAGAAAATGCTAGAAAAAACGAGCAAAATCGCTAGAAAACGAACGAAAAACGATGTCGGAAACAGTTAATGAGGCTTAGACTACAAACTATAAAATTTTCGTAAGCCTCAGTAGAAATTTTCTTTCGGCGAAAACTCGATTTTTAGCGGGTTTTCTCTCAAATTTCCAATTTTCAATGACTACAAATTACAAAAATTCCAGAAATTTGGAAAAACACTCATTGAAAACGGTTAAAAATGATACTTTTTGAAGTTTTACTGAGGCTTATGGTATTTTGTAGTTTGTAGTCTAAGCCTCAGTAAACCTGCTGCTAATTTTACTGAGGCTTAGACTTCAAACTACAAGAGAATTCCAGAAATTTTGGACACAAAATTTATCGAAAACGGTTGAAAATAAGAGCTATTGAAATGTTACTAAGGCTTAGACTACAAACTACAAAATTTCCTAAGCCTCAGTAAAATAAAAATCTCTGTTTTCAACTGATTTTTATGATTTTTTGGTCTTTTTTTGAATTTTCACAATTTGTAATAATTCTAGCAATTTTCATAACTTTCCACTTCACTGAGGCTAGTGACTACAAACTACAAACTTTCCTAAGCCTCAGTAAAACTGAAATCTTCGCGTTTCACAGCCAATTTTCAACCGTTTTCGCTCGTTTTCGACTTAAAATCACTGAAATTTTGGGAACTATCTAATGAAAGGCAATATCCTACATACCTGATTCTGTCCCTGTGGTCCCACTTGCGTCAACAACGCAGCCATTGGTGAGCACTCAACATGTCTAAGTGTATCAGCTCCCGTCTCAATGATATTCCCTCGTTTCGTCTTAAAACTCTGAATTCGTCCTCCGATTCTGGCTCGTGCCTCCAGAACAATCACATCAAATCCGAACGACGTCAGCTGAGTGGCCGCTGAGATACCGGCTGCTCCCGCACCGATTACAATCACTTTCCGCTCGCTTCTCACTAGGAATCGACTGATTTTCGTTGTTCTAGTGTACCGTCCGTAGTTGATTATACCGTGGCGGGTTAGGTATTGGACAATGTTCTGAAAATAGGGTGTAGTTTGTGGTCTTTGTAGTTTGTGTAGTCTTTTCTCTCTAAAAGTAAGATTTTGATGCTTTGTATTGTAATTTTTGCAAAAATCGTCGTGAGTTATTTAGGATTACGTTAGATCAATTCTAGACCAATTAAGATTGATTTAGAGCAATTTGAAGCCAATTTTTAGCCATTTTATACCAATTTAGACCATTTTAAACCTATTTTTGACTATTTTAGCCGAATTTCGGGCTATTTTAAGCCAAATTTTTATTATTTTGAGTCAATTTTTGACTATTTTCAGTCAATTTTGGATTATTTTAGATAAGTTTTGGCTTATTTCAGACTATTTTGGACCTTTTTTCGACTATTTTAAGTCTATCTTGAGCTATTTTGGACCTATTTGAGACTATTTTAGACCTATTTCAGGCTCTTTTAAGCCTATTTTAGACAAATTTTGAGCAGACTATTTTATATGGTTTTTTGACTATTTTCGACCTCATTTTAGGCTATTTTAGACAAATTTTCCACCGTTTTAAGCCGATTTTTGACTGCTTTTGACCGATTTTCGACTATTTTTGCCTTTATTTACCTGAATAAAGTCCAAATCCGAGTTAAACGGTGCGAATACATTATTCCTCACTTCCAATGCTGTACACTCTTTCGATGGATGGGCTTGCCACGTGGCAAGTGTCGTATTTCGAAGCAAAAGAAACACTTCGACCGACTGTTGAGACTCCCACAGCTCCGGGAAAAATGACAACTCGTGCTCCGTCGGACGATCGAACGGAAGACGGGCGGCCTCGGCGGCTTTGCGAAGTTCTGGAATTTTTGTAGTTTGTAGTTTGTAGTCATTGGAAAACTCGAGATTTGAGCGAAAATCCGCTGAAAAGGCGGTGGGAAAAAATTTTTTGTGTAAAATTTTTCTTACTGAGGCTTAGGAATTTTTGTAGTTTGTAGTCTCTTAGCCACAGTAAAATTTCAAACAGTCAGTTTTTGGTGATTTGTGTAGTTTGTAGTGATTGAAAAATTGAACATTTTGAGAAAAAAACCGTCGAAAAAATCGGTGAAAATTGAGATTTTCCGGCGGAGGAAAATTTTACTGAGGCTTAGGAATTTTTGTAGTTTATAGTGTATAAGCCTCAATAAACCTAGTGACACTTTTACTGAGGCTAAATGACTAAAAACTAGAGAAAATCATAAGCCTCAGTAAAGCCTTCGGCGCACTGGAGTATTTACTGAGGCTTATGGAAAGCTTGTAGTTTGTAGCCTAAGCCTCAGTAAACTCCCCCAGCGCGCCATAAATTTTACTGAGGCTTAGGAATTAATGTAGTTTGTAGTCATTTAGCCTCAGTAAAGACTCTAATGTGCGCCATTGGTTTCACTGAGGCTAAATGACTACAAACTACAATATTCCCTAAGCCTCAGTAATCACCCCAGCGCGCTACAAATTTTACTGACCCTTAGGAATTTTCGTAGTTTGTAGTCTCTTAGCCTCAGTAAAATCTTAATTTCGTCAATTTTCAACCGTTTTCGACGATTTGTGTCTCAAAATTTCTGGAATTTTTTGTAGTTTGTAGTGCGTTAGACTACAGACTATAAAATTTTCTAAGCCGCAGTAAAACTCAAAAATCGCCGTATCTCGGCTCATTTTCAACCGTTTTCGATGATTTTTTTGAATTTTTTGTAGTTTGTAGCCCAGTCCCTTACTATTATCGTCAACCATCGGTCCAAATTCCTCATAATTCAATATCTCTTCATCTGGATACGATTCTGAAGAGCTCGATTCAGAAGACATTGTTTTTCCTGAAAAAGTGCCACGTGGGTTTCGGATTTTGTAGTTTTTATCGAATTTTTGATGTTCAGAAGGTAGAATTCTTTGTAGGTTCCACAGAGTTGTATTTTCTGAATCTCGGATTAACACATAGAAATCTTTATTCTGCCGGAAGAAACATTTCTGAGGGGGGAGAATTTTGAAGGAAAAAAAAACCAAAAAACAAGGAAAAAGGGGGAAAACAAGATAATTTTTGGGGTATTTTGTATGATTTCAGAAGAAGCCAAAAAAAAAAGAACTAGAAAAACTCAATGAATCACCGTAATCGAACGTTCAGAAGACAGAAATGTTGTGTGTGCTTTGAGAAGAATAGGGGGAAACGACAAGAAAAAGGGGGCCAGCTGGACAGTCTAGGACAGAACAACAACAGAAAAAATCAATAATCATCATAGTCATCATAGTCATCTGCGCCTCCGTAGTCGTCGTACATGTTGTCGTTACCTTTGGTCACCTTCAACGTCGCCTTTTGGTTCTTCTTGTTGTTGGCAGCAGCTGGAGCAGCCGCGGCTGGATTGGCTTTCTGGAATATAGGGGATTTTTGCAAATTTAGGGTTTTTGAGGTCGCGATAATTAGCCGAATTCCTTAATTTTGATAAAAATGGAGTAATTCTAACTAGTTTCGAGCATTTTCAAAGCCAAAAACTAGATTTTATAAGCACAATATGTCAAAAGTAGGCTAGAAAAAACATTTTCGCCACAAACACACGAAAACTTACTATTTTCAAAGTGAAATATGTAAAAAATAGTCTAGAAAAAGGATTTTCAGCTGAAAATGTTATTTTAGCACTTTTCAAACTTTCATAAATACACTAACGGTCAAAAAGACGTCTTTTTTCAGTTGATTTGCGGCCATTTTGGCAATTTTTTGGAGCCTGGATCATCTTTGCGTTCACAGAATTTTTAGAACATCCTTAGTTTCAGAAATCGGGAAAACTATCAAAATACAAGAATTTCGAGATGGAAAACACCGATTTTGAATCCCTTCTTGCTCTAAAACATCTATTTTCTGGTGGTCAAATTATCTTTAACCCCGAAAATTCAAATTTCGCGCGATGGCTTGTCCACGAGGAGTACAAAATTTGAAATCGATCAAAACACCCGATCGGTCTAACTTCAACGATTTTTTTTTTCGTAACTTTTGAGCTTTTTAAACGTTTTCATAACCAAAACGGACTGAAAAGGGTGTCAGCAAATAGCTGAAAACATATAAATTTCCAAAAAATTCTGTGAATACATATTTTCAATCTAGGTCTGTTTTATATTCCCCCTAAAGCTCCAGACCTAAAAACAGTCAAAATGGCCGCAAATCAACTGAAAAAAAGGCGTCTTTTAGACAGTTAATGTATTTATAAAAGCTTGAAAAGTCTTAAAATGGTAATATGCTTGTCTGAGAAAAAAAGGTTAGAGTATTTTTTGCAGTCTGAATACGGTAGCGATATCAAAGCGGAGATCCTAAATAGCACACAAACGGTGGAGACGCAGACACTTTTTCTCTGCGTCTCAATTTTTTTTTCTCAGACAAGCATAATATTTTCAGCTGAAAAATCCTGTTTATAGCCTAGTTTTGAAAAAGCTGGCTTTAAAAATCGTAGTTTTAGCTTCAGATGCTCTTACTATGACCGAAAATCTTCAAAAAGTTATAACTCGACTGCTAGATGAGCTAGAAAGCTGGAATTTCCAGAAACCTGCTATGAAAATCATGAAAAAAAGGTCGAAATGGACTAACCGCCTTTTGCTTCTCCGCGGTCTTCTTTGCAGTACTGATTTGTTGAAGGTAGGTGACCATCTTCTGAATATCAGCAGGCGTTACTGAAATTTCCGCTTTCTTTCTAGATCATTCTATTTTAAAGCTCACAATCCTCGGTAATCGCACCCAACAGCTTTCCAATCATATCTCCATAATTGGCAGCCTTATGCCTCGTAGCCAAAAATCCCCGACGCGCTCTCCCCAGTACTCGAAATCCACTTTGGATGAGATATTCGCATAGCTTCCTCTGGAATCATCTCCTTCAAAATCGTCATCACCGAAAAGATCGCGAGCCAATTCCAAATCTTTCTGCTTCTGAAGCTCCTCCTTCTCAGCGGCTGTCAACTCTCTTCCGAGAGATTCCATGGCGAACGCTGGCGCTTTTTTCGGTGCTGCGGCGGTTTTCGGCGCTGCCGCCTTCTTTTCAGGCACATCTTTAGGCACCACTGGCGCTGGAGCCGGCTCTTCTCGCTTGAAGGTGGACACCTCGGGTTCGAAGTCCTCGTCGTCCCAATTGTCAGCCATAGTTGCCTAGTTCTGGAAGAATTCTTTCTTAAGAATGGAAATTTCTGAAAAATCAGCGGAAAAGGTCCTGAAGAAAGATAAAAAAGCAGCAAAAAAACTGGAAAATTGGTGATTATTGGCTATAAAATCAAAAAAAAATCTTGATTTTTCCCAGAGTTTCAGGAAAATTCTTCACACACAAGTTAAACTTCAACAATGCACAAAAAACGGATTGCCTATATCCTATCAATATTATGAAAAATAAGCGGAAAAGATCCTGAAAAATCAGAAAAAAGTAAAAAAACAGGGAAAAACCAAGAATTGATGGCTGTTGGATTAAAAAATCGTGTTTTCCCGAAATTTCCGATTAAATCGAAGTTTTAATGAGCAAAAATGGAGAAAATTCCAAAAAAATCACTTCCGGACCTAATTTCCCCATAATTCCATCGAAAATCGACTATTTAACCTCTTTAAAACCCAAAAAATTTCGAAAATTCCATTAAAAAACGTTGGCTTCAAAGATCGGTTAAAAAATCAATAAAATCCACAAAAACCTGTTCAAATAGCTTCATTTTATTGCAACACGAAATGTGAGGTGTTGCGCAATGTGTGCAAACACCGCACGCAAACTTGCGGAGTTTGTCTACCGTATCAAGAAGAAAAATAAATTTATATCGCAATTTTGGCTGAGATTTGTCTAATTTTAGAGAAATACACACCGAGAAAAATAAAGAAAAATGGCAAAAAATGAAAAAAAATCAATAGAAAAAAAGGATTATCCCGAAAATGGATCGCCAGAAGATGGGCGAATGTTCAACTGGAGAGGCGGGAGGCTTTGGGTGGAGTCATGAGTGGATCTGGGCCTAAAAAATTGATTTTGATGGATTTTTCTAGGTTTTTCGCACTCACAGTCTATTAGGTGGACTTCCAAACACATTTGGCCGGCTTGAATACGGACTGCTCCCCATTTGGCTGACCGTTTCTCCGAAAGTCGGGAATTCAGTGGGATCCTTAGAGGGCGTGGCCAGACTAGACTGTTTTCTAGGTGTACCCATTGGAGACATCGCAGCAGCGCCTGCCGGTGGGAAAGAGCTGCTTATGGGTCCGTTGAAACTGGATTTCGCAGATATTGGCGGTGTGATTTGGGAGGATTGGACGACGGGGTGGCCCTGGGTTGCCTTTCGCAGCAATTCGGATCCTCGGTCGAAGCAGGCGCGTACCAGTTGTTGGAGACCTTGATGGAGGGAATATTCGAGAAGAACTGCGCCAACGCCCTGAAAATAATGTGAATTTCCGTCTGAATTTCGGAAAAATGTCGATAAAGGAGCTATTAGACTTGGAATTTGAAGTTCTTTTGATCGTTTCCCATGAGAGCATATCTATTCTTTTATGACACCTGTAGACCCTGACTCAAGTTTCCTTTAATTTCTGGCGTCTGGCTTTTGTGACATTTTCTGATATGCCTTATATATTCCTACACATTTTTAAGAAAAATGGGTCTGTTTCTGACTATTTTACATGCATTTTCGGCAGATTTTCAGTTTTAAGCATCTTAAAACGGCTTTCTTACCGCATAAAGTGCCCAAAATCCCTCGGTTTCGAGAACTTTCTTCACACAATCAAAGAATCCCGAATATTTGACAGTAATCGAGACAGCCGACATTCCAGTGTCCATATTATCAATCAGCGTTCTAGTTCCCTGAATATACATCCGGTGCAGAATAGTCTCAAATGGATATAAAATTAGGTCAGTGAGGACCATCGACGACGTCTGAGCGAACATTTGGGGCAGGAAATCGTGATACGTGGTTTTCTCGGAAGCCGGTTTTCGATTTACATAACGGGTGGCCATTCGGAAGAACTGGTTGTAAAGCGCGGTTTGGAGCATGTAGTGACCAACTCTGCAATTTTGAAATTCGAAAATTTTGAGTTTGAAAATATAGAAAATCCTCAAAAAACAGGCCATTTTCAGATTTTTCGGGATGTTTTTATTTTAATTTTAAACAAATTTCAGACCAAAAACGACTCTGAAATGTAAATTTTCTACTTTTTATTTTTAGAAAATTTGAAAAATTAGTAAAAGGGTTATTTTCAGACTTTTGGGATATTTTTATATCATTTTTGACAAATTTTAAGCCAAAAACTCAAATTCCAAAACTCTACTATTCATTTTTGAATTTTTCATTCGTTTCCTGGTTTTAAAAATATAATGTTTGATAATTTTGGGCCAAAAATATCATTTTCGACCAAAAAATCAATTTCCGGGATTTCTGAAATATGATTTCTGACAAATTTTCAGCCAAAAAAGTAATTTTCTTACTGAAAACCAGCCGTTGGAACGGCGAGATGAATAATTGAGAATTTCCGCGAAGCGTCCCGTCCTGTCGACACAAAATAACGCATTCGATCCACACCCTTCACCAGCACATCCAGAATTTTGTTGTCCTCACCGCCGATGCCCGATTCGCTCTGGAAATTTGAAATTTGTAGGTTTTTCAAAAAATTTGAACAATTTAAGCCAAAAAATCACAAAAATCAGTGGAAAATTGAGTTTTTCCGCAAAATAGTTTTTTACTGAGGCTTAGGAATTTTTGTAGTTTGTAGTCGCTAAGCCTCAGTAAAAGCGAGACTCGCACACAGCGAGACTCGCACACAGCGAGTTTGAGTTTTCCTGAGGCTAAGGAAATCTTGTAGTTTGTAGTTTAAGCCTCAGTAAATCTAGAGGTAGGTTTACTGAGGCTTAGACTACAAACTACAGAAATTCGCAAGCCTCTGTAAAGGCTATGGTACAGTGAAGTGTTTACTGAGGCTTACAACATTTTGTAGTTTGTAGTTTAAGCCTCAGTGAACGCACGCGCTAGTTTTCCTGAGGCTTATACTACAAACTACAAAATATCCTAAGCCTCAGTGAAACTTAAAAATACCATAAGTCGGTTGGTTTTCATCCGTTTTCAATGATTTTTGGCTCAGAATTTCTGGATTTTTTATAGTTTGTAGTCCACCTATTTGAGCTAGGCACTTAACTAAGGTTCAGAGACTACAAACTACGGTGTTTCCTAAGACTCAGGAAAAACAAAAATCCACTCTAACTTGGCTCATTTTCAACCGTTTTTCGTGATTGTTAGCTCAAAATTCCTGGAATTTTCCAACTCACTCTAACAGTTTCAATAAAGGAGGAGATGTAGAAAGGTGTCATGACCACAGAGGTGACACCCTTCAACACAATATGTCTCCAATACTTTTCAGTACTTCCATTCATCACAAAGGTACGTGGCAGACCCAGTAAATCGCCCAAGACAATTTCGGTAACATTCGTGAGTCCCCAGAGGACACTGGACCCTAGAGCTCCCTTCCAAAACGTCTGAACTCCTTCTTTAGCCACAGAATTACAGATAACAGGAATCAAAGTGACAGGGGTGAGATGGAGAGATGCAGCATTCTGATGGACTTGACACTGCCGACGAATCACTGAGCACGGATGGGAAATCAGGGATTTTGTAATGACGCTGAAGGACAAAATTGAAAAAAAATAATTTCTTAGCTAAACATCGGATTTGCTTTAAAATTCATGAAAAAAGGTTAAAAATTACTCTGATAGACCTAAAAGCGCTCCAGCCAGAGGATCAGTGGTTGTCGATTTTCCAGGCGGAGGAGAGTAATTTTGTGGCTCAGAATACCCTGAAGCAGATGATGGAAGCTGGGAAAAATCTGAAAATCTAAGTTTTAAAGCTAATAATAGCCTAAAAATCACCATTTTGATACTGAAAATCGTCCATATCATTATGACTGCCCTGTGGAAATGCCGACCGATTTCGGATGAATTGAGTGGGCATTTTTGGTCTGAAGAGTGAGATTTCTTTAAAAAAAATTGAGAAAAAAGGATGAAAACAAGCAATAACTCTGAAAATTCGCCGAAAAATGCAGAAAATTGGTTGAAAAAATTGAAAAACGCCCGGAAAATGCAAACGCGCTCCATTGGACTTTCTTGAAATTCGATATTTTTTCGGCGAATTTTTCCCTTTTTAGCTTATTTTTTCGATTTTTTCGAAATTTTCAGAGATTCTAAACTGATTTTCAAGCAAAAAATTGAAATTTTAAGATTTAGAAACCTATTCAACCTCTAAAAATCCAAAGTTTTCAGGGAAAATTGAGGAGTTTAAACTTTTTCTTTTTTTCATCGTTTTTCGGGACTTTTCGAAAAATTCCCCCTGATTTTCTACTGAAAATTTGAAATTTCAACTGTTAAAAATAGTTTTTAACACTAAAAATTTGTAGTTTTCATGAAATTCTTTTTTTTTGGCTTAAACGGATTTTCAGGTCATTAAAACTTACTTTTCTTAAAATCACATTTTAAATATCAGTTTTTCAGCGATTTCAAACATTTTTAAATGCTACAAACTCGAAGTTTTCGTCTAGTATTCAATTTTCAGCACAAAAATGGTGGCAACGGGAGCAGATTTGCTGAAAGTCAACGACACGTGTCAATCGAACAGATGGTGGAAGACGAAACAGGATAAAAAGTACCTAAAAATCACCTCAAAAATCCCTAAAACTCCTAGAATTTTCAGACACTCAACCATCAAAAAAGTGAAGACTCTGAAGACGTCGTGGGAGAAGAAGATGGAGGTGAAAGCCAAAAAAGAGATGGTCAAAAGCTTCCAGGACAACATTCGAGAGCGTGCGGTTCAAGAGAGACAGGAGAGGAAGGAGAGAAAAGAGGAGCAGGAGAAGCGACGTCTGGAGAACGAGAGAAAGTCGGAAATTGTGCAGGTGAGCTAGAAATTGCCATCTTTTATTAAGATTTTGTGAAAAAAGCTGAAAATTCCAGTCATTTCGAGCTAGAAATCCCGAAAAATAGTTGAAAACTAAGAAAGTTAGAAGCTTTTCTTTGAATTTAGCACTGAAATTTGTTTTTACTGAGGCTTAGAGAATGTTGTAGTTTGTAGTCTTTGGTGTTAAGCGGAAAATGTTCAAAATTTTGATATAATTCAAAAATCCCGGAAAACAGTTGAAAACTAAGAAAATTAGAAGATTTTCTTTTTTTTTCTGAATTTCGCGGTGAAATTTGTTTACTGAGGCTTAGGAGATTTTGTAGTTTGTAGTCGCTTTTAGTAATTTTTGGCTTGAGTTTTCAGCTTTTTAATATATTATTTTTTCCAGAAAATCACCAAGATTCACAAGCTGAAAAAGACCAAGAAGCGTCAACTGCGTTCGATTCAGATGCGCGACACCACCACCGTCTCCAAATGATTCTTCGTTTTTTGCCACGTGTCTTTTTTCTTGTTTTTTTGTTGATTTATTATCCATTTGTTGTCCCAGAAAATTGTGCTTTTTTGGATGATTTTTATTGAAAAAATTGTTTTTTGAAAATTAAAAAAAAATCGAAAAATTGGGAATTATTGCAAAAAATTAGCGATTATAGCTCTTCAAACTACTCATAGTTAGGGGGTTATTAAATTTAGGGAAAAAATAAATTAATTAGGATAAAAAAAATGGAAAAATAAGTGAAAAATAAATTTTTTGGTGGGTTTTGAGATGAAAAAATAATGAAAATCTAGGCTCTCTGTAGAATAGAAAATCTGTGTAAAAAATCGGAAAAAAATCACTAGGGAATTAATTATCGTTAATTGACACCAATTATCCTCCGGCAACCGAATCGTAATTGCTTCTTCTCAATTTCTTGTGAAGCTCGAACTTCCAGACGATGCCAGAGCCGAGAATACAGATGATGATCAGAACGAAGACGGTGATCTGAAATAATTAGAAAATTTATTTTTTTTTCGAATTAAAATTCGAAAAAAGATGTTTTTTTGGCTCAAAAATTATGAAATTTTCAATTTTCGTATTCTGTAGTTTGTAGTCTCAGGTTGAAAAGCAAAAAAATCCAGAAATTTTGGTCCAAAAATCGCGAAAAACGATTGAAAACGAAGAAAATTAGAAGCATTTTCAAATTTTTAAAATTTAGCGACGAAAAATTTTACTGAGGCTTAGGAATTTTTGTAGTTTGTAGTCGCTAAGCCTCAGTAAAACTTCAAAGCGTTGTAACTCCTCTCATTTTGAGCCGTTTTTCATCATTTTTGGCTCAAATTTTCTGATTTTTTCAAAGAATTCATCAGTTTTAAAATATCCTTTTTTGTTATGTTGCAGAAAATTTCAAATCTGAAAAAAAAGAGAAAAAACTTTTGGACTCCAAAATCATGAAATTTGAAACGTTTCTTTTTTGTAGCTTGTAGTTTGTAGTCTCACGTGTTAAGCGAAAAATTCCAGACATTTTGATCAAAAAATCACGAAAAACGGCCGAAAATGAGCCGAGATACAGCGAATTGAAATTTTTACTGAGGCTTAGGAATTTTTGTAGTTTGTAGTCGCTTAGCCTCCGTAAAACGACCTGTCGCGCCTGCGCTACGTGTCAAGTGTTTACTGAGGCTTAGAGATCTTTCGTAGTTTGTAGTCTAGGCCTCAGTAAAGACTCCAATGCGCGGCAGGCACTTTACTGAGGCTAAGCGACTACAAATTACAAAACTTTCTAAGCCTCAGTAAAAGCTAAAATCCCCTGTAACTCGGCTCATTTTCAACCATTTTCAGTGATTTTTTGCTCAACATTTCTGGAATTTTCTGTAGAATTTTGTACCATAGTTGTATTTGAATCATCTGGAATTGGTGGTTGTGTTGGTTTTTGGAAAATGAACGATTTCTTAGTAGATGTTTCCTCTTTCTCTTCTTTTTCCTTCTCTTCTTCTTCTCGTTCCTCTTCCTCCTCTTCTTCCTCCTTGATTTTTTCCTCTTTTTTCGCCTCCTCAGCCGCTTTTTCACGATTTTTTGGTGATTTTCCCTTGGGTTTTTCCGCTTTTTCCTCTTCTTCCTCTTCTTCTTCGTCATCGTACTCAACTTCCACTTGCTTTGGCTTTGATTTCGAGGATTTTCTAGGTAAATGTCGATTAAAAATCAATCAATAATCAGCAATTACCCTTTAGAAGGTTTCGAAGCCTTCGACTCTGGAATTTGCTTCGATGCAAGTGCTCTACCAACAGCCGCCCGATCGCTTGTCTGAAATTGTAGTTTGTAGTCTTTGTAGCCTCTGTAGTCTATTTACCTTGAAACAAGTTTTCGTTTCCAAACTCTCCGATGTAAAAATGGCACATCCAGTTGGATCGAGTTCCTCTGGAAGTGCATCTTCTCCAGTGAACGAAGCACATCCATAGATACGGTAGGAAGACATAACACCGAGTTTGGATTTTATTGAGGCCTAGAATTCCGCTTAAGTTAGGTAGTTTAGTATGGTTTTGTAGACCTTTTCAATAGCTTTATTTTGCATTTTAATTCATTCAAAAATATTAGGTTTCCAAAAAGTTATGTGCCGTTGAACACCGCTTACCGTAAAAATCATTTTCCAGAATCAAGATAGAAATTTCTAAGTCTATTTTCAATGATTTGTGATATAGTTTTTTATTATTTTGTAGCCCAATTCAAGAGCTTCATCTTCCAAATTGATTCATTTGAAAATGTTGATTTTTCAAGAAGTTATGCGCCTTTAAAGATCACCCACAGTAGAATAAAATTCTCCAAAGGAACTATAACATTCTTTCAACTCCAGGGAATGGCTTCAAGTTTAATTATTTTTAAAAACATTCAGTATCGTTTTGTAGTCCTTCTCAAGAGCTTCATTCCACAATTTGTTTCGTTCAAAAATTGTATTTTTCCAGTATATTGTGTGCCTTTAAAGATCCTTCCCTGTAAAACAAAATTCTCCAAAAGGACTATACGATTTTTGTAACCTCAGAAATAGGCTTAAAATTTGGATATTCAAAAAAAAGTTAAATACTTTTGTAGTCCTTTTCAAGAGCTTAATTTACCATTTTAATTCACTCGGAACTATCGATTGTCAATAAAGTTATGCGTTTTTGAAAATCACTTATCATAAAACAGAATTGTACAAAAAACCTATAGGATTCTTCCAACTCCAGTAATTGGCTTCAAATGTAACTACTCAAAAATATTTTAGTATCATTTTGTAGCTCTTTTCAAGTTCTTCATTTTACATTTTGATTTATTTAACGTTTTTCATTTAAAAGCGAGGTGTACACATTTAAAGAATGCTTACCGTAAAACAAAACTGTCCAAAAGAACTATAGGATTTTTTTAACTCTAGGAATTAGTTTAAGAATTTAACAACTGTTTTTAAAATTTTACATCGTTTTGTAGCCCTTTTCAAGAGCTTCATTTTGAATTTTGATTCATCAGAAAAGCCCGATTTCTCAAAAAGTTATGCGCCTTTAAACATCACTTACCGTAAAACAGAATTCTCCAGTGCATGAGATATTCTCGGATCGAGTGGTGGTTCCCATTGTCGTCACTTCAACCAATGCATTACATTTTTCTTTTTCCGGAACACTAATCGATGGTTTTTCACTGTTACAGTAGTCCGTACCACAGATACACGACTCAACGGCCAGTAGAGATTCAGCTTCCTGGAATAGAAATGTGTTTTTTTTCGTGAATTTTAGGTCATTTTAAGAGCCTGGATATCGACTGTCAAGTTTCGGATCACTTTGAAAACTGTGGAGGATATAAAACAGACCTAGATTGAAAACTTTGCATTCACAGAATTATTTGAAAATTCCTAGTTTTTAAGATATTTTCCGATTTTGGAAAGACACCTACTTTTTAGTACAAAAGCGGAGTGCCCTTCAGAAATCGGCAAATATCTGAAAAACCAGGCAATTTCGAAAACTTCTGTGAGTGCAAAGTTTTCAATCTAGGTCTGTTTTACATCTTCCAGAATTTTCAAACTGATCGGACCAACTACAAACTACAAAAACATTGAAATTCAGACAACACAATGAAATTTGATTGAGCTTTAACTTTGCATATTTTCATCCTTTTCCAGTGATTTTCGACTCACAAATGAAAAAAATTGTAATTTTTCTAATTTTGTAGTTTTGCATTTAAAATTTTAAACGAAAAATTCCAAAAATGTTGATCCAAAAATCAGGAAAACTGGTTGAAAACTAAAAAAATTAGACGCTTTTCAATTATTTTTTGGAATTTAGTGGTGAAATTTGTTTTTCCTGAGGCTTAGGAAGTTTTGTAGTTTGTAGTATCTGGTGTAAAAGTTTAAGCGAAAAATTCCAGAAATTTTGGCGCGAAAATCCCGAAAAACGGTTGAAGACTAAGGAAACTAGAAGCTTTTCTATTTTTTCGAATTTAAAGGTGGGGGGACATGAAAAAAATAAATTTCTCGAAATTCCGTTCAAAGATGCCTCTCGAGGAGTTGAACTTGTGAAGGCGATGATTGAGGGTGCGGCGCCGCTACCGACTGAGCCACGCGGGTAAAGAGAAAGCGCACGCCCGATCGCATACATAAAGACGAGGACGACAGCTGTACGCATAGTGACATTAAGCGTTGTACACCGTCACGGTAGAATGCATACTCTAGCTACAAAAAAACTACGAAAAATCTCCTGTCCCCCCACCTTAAAGGGGGACTCCGACCAAAAATTTTTATTGCCCTAAAATGTTTCAAAAAATATGTATTTTCCGAATATTATTGCGAAAAAATTCAAAAAAATCTTAAATCCCCGAAAAACGGCGTTGAAAAATAAGGATTTGAATTCCCGCGCAGTGAGAAACCTAGGCCACGGCATCATAGCGCCTTTCTTACATGGAAATTTTTCCGGATTTTTGCGGTGTTCATGTACGGCAGGTTGAAAATGTAAAAAACCACTGTCGGCCACTTGAAAAAACGGTTGTCAGGCGCTGTGGCCTAGGTTTCTCACTGCGCGGGAATTCAAATCCTCGTCCCTCCTAGCAAGTTTTTTTGAAAATTTTTCGCTTTTAACGGCATTTTTCGGGGATTTCGTATTTTTTTCGAATTTTTTCGCTATAATATTGGGAAAATAGACAATTGTTCAAACATTTTAATGCAATAAAAATTTTTGGTCGGAGTCCCCCTTTAACGATAAAGTTTTTTTTTACCGAGGCTTAGGAAATTTTGTAGTTTGTAGTCACTTAGCCTCAGGAAAACATAAGCGTGCGCATGGAAGTCTTTACTGCGGCTTGAGATTTTTGTAGTTTGTAGTTGCTTAGCCTCAGTAAAAAGCTTCTATGCGCGCGCTCGGCGGCGACTACAAACTACAAAAATTCCTAAGCCTCAGTAAAACTTAAATCCCCTGTAACTCGGCTCATTTTTAATCGTTTTTCGTGATTTTATCTCAAAATTTCTTTAATTTTCTGTGTAATTTCAAACTAATATCAAACCTTTGCCACATGATGCATTGCTCCAGTAATGGGCGGCGCCATACACGATCCAATTGCTCTTCTCTCAATCAATGGCACTGATGCATTTGTGCATCCTTGTTCGACTTGTTTCGTTTTGTGATTTTTCACAAAAGTACACAGCTCTCCGATGCACGTTTTGTCGTTACGACAATGCGCTCCATTGCACACACATTGGACCTGAAAAAATGCGCTCTATAGAGAATTTTTTTTGGTTTTTTTTTTGACTAATTTACATTTAAAAATTTGATAAAAATTCAAAAAACAAAAAACAAAAAAAGTTGCCACTGGTGGGATTCGAACCCGGAACCCCTAGATTCAAATCAAAAATCCCACTAGGCCATGTGCACACTTTTTTGAAAAAACCGATTTTCTGGGTCAAAATATGATTTTAAAATGGTTTTTGGGCTCAAAAGTTGGTTTTAAAAACGTTTTTAGGCTTAAAATTGCGCCTAATTCTTATTGGAGCGCATTTTCAAAGATCCTTACTAATTCCACATCTTCTCTCTCCACTTTTCGAATGGTTTTTCTCGAATTACAGAGGTCTTTTCCGTTACAGAAGCACGTGAATGGTTCATCTGAATCCTCGGCAAATTCACAGTGGTCCCTGACGTCCTTGGCTAGCATGGACCCTTTGGCGCATCCCTGGAATTGGAAATTTTCAAATTCTTCAGAAAAAATTCCAAAAAAAAAAGTTTTTTCTTGAAACTTTTTTCAGATTAGAATCAAAACTAGAATAGATAATTACTGTCAATTTCATCATTAAAGTTCTACATTTAAGCTAATTTTAAAGGAATTGAAAATTTTAAAAAATTAAAAAATTCTTACCTTAACAATTTCCGGCTCTCCCCATCTAGCTGACCCCCATCTTGGCGCGTACTGTGATATCATACAGTAATCCCCTTCACAAAAGCTCCCCATACAATCCATACCAACACAATCGAAACATTTCACTGCTTCCGAGATTTGGATCTGCAAGATTTTTTTGAACTTTTTGATACCGTAAAACCTAACGTTCAACTTTGAGCCAATTTATCTCGATTCCTGTGTAAGATATCAAAAAGTGGTCAACTGATAAATTGTTTATCATAATATCACAAACATTTTATCAGTTGACACATTTTTGATATCTATTACAGGAATCGAGATAATTGAGCTTAAAGTTGACAGTGTGGAGACCCTCCTATTGCAGGTTTTACAGTAAGTTAAAACACTTGGGCATTCAGAAGTTCTGAGAATTTCAGAAGGTTTGAAAATTAAGAATACTAGGAAGTTTTGAAAACCTCAAAATACAAAAACCCGTATTACCTGAGCAATAAAGATGAGCAATACCAATTTCAGGTTTAATCGCCATTTGGTCTTGGGCATGTTTTCAACTTGTTTCTGAAAATTTTCAATTTCAACAAAAAAAAATGTTTTCTAAAAATTTTCAGATTTCGTCGAGAGGATACGGTACATATAAAAAAAAACAAAATCAGAGGAAACGAAGCGTGATTCTGGGTCATGTGCTGACACCTGAAAAGCAAAAATTTGTTTTTCGGTTTTTGATAAATTATGATTTCAGATTGTATTCATACACTTTTTGAAACAGAAGTTATGAAAAATAAAATTGAAATTTGATTATAAACTTATTGAGAAATTATTGTCGGAATAAAAAAAGTGAGACTCGGTGTTTGCGTACTTTGATTCCCGCCTCCCCCCACCGACGCTCCGCCCATCGCTTTGCAAGTGCGGCGTGGTGTTTTAGCGCCACTTGGGAGATCATCGGAT